TAAGGTATATATGGCCAAATCTACTGACTTCAAATGATGATTGAATTTAGAGTTATAATATGGACAAAACTGTAGACATAAATGACCAAGTTTAGAATTTGAGTGGTTAATTTTAGGCATCTGAAGCAGAGTGACTTGACTTCATTTTTTCTGGGGGGGGAGCAGGGCTAAGTATCCACAGTGCTCAGATGTCTTTGACAGGTCATCCACCCTTAACTGACAGCACCCCCCCTCCCCCGGTTGGTTGTCAGGCAACTGAGATTAACAAGGATTTAGCAATACCACATCATATTGCTCTTCTCCAACTCCATCTCATGTCCTAGCAGTTGCTGTTTTGGTGGCTTAATACCACTAAAGGGATTTTCCTGGCATTGTAGAATCCAAAGAATCTGGGTTGGCCAGGATTATTAGGGCTGCTTTCTGTTGCAAGCAGGGTTCAGAACTTGGCCTAATGTCTCCTGGTAACATAAAGTTATGGTTACCATATCAGCTGTAACATGGATCTCTTGCAAAAATATAGTATAGTACAAAAGTCGGCAACGTTTTTGGGCAGAGTGCCAAAAACACCCACAACCTTGACTTGTAAGATGTTGGCATGCTAGGAGCAGATGGCTGGGGAAACGTGAGGGGCCTGATCCTTGTTGTTGTAGCACAGCCCTGGCCCCTTCTCCACCATCTGCCCCAAGGCATACGTGCACCAACCGCCAGCAGCTAGCCAAGTGGTGCTCCTTGGATCCTGGCACAGCCACTTCTAGCGTTGTGGCTGTCTGCCACAGCTGGCCCAGGCTCTGGGGAGGCCCTTGCTGCCCGTTGTAGAGCCTGTACTGCTTGCAGCAGGTGGCAGGGAGGCTGCAAGCAGCTGCACCCGGGTCCACAGAACCTCAGCCTGGATCATAATTGATGGCAGGGAAGGGGCTGGGGCTGCACTGCCACAAGGATTGGGCACCTCACAGCTCTCCTGCCATCCGCCCTCAAGCCAAACAAAATGCTTTCGTATGCCACACTCTAGCATGCGTGCTGGGGGTTGCCTACCTCTGGTATAGTAGTATGTGCATTTTAGCACAACTCTTAAACTACATGTGTGTGTGTACTTGTAATTATTTGAAACTAGCTATGGGATTTTTAAATTAAAAAAACTAGCAAGGGAACAAACATTTGAAAATGCATATAAATCTTGCAACATCTAGTTTTTCTTGTTTAGTTTGACAACTGTAGTCTAATTTTAATTTCTTCTGTTGCATCATGTTGCTCTAGTATAGTGCTATACCATTATAACTTGGCTAAGAATGGTAGAGACAGAGACAGTGAATAGCAAGGTTTTATTTTAATAGGTGGTCTTGCCTTTCAAGTGAGCTTCAATACCTAAGCACTGTAACTACACTACTGGGTGACATGCTTACCAAATAGTAGTGTCTCTTTAGAGGTTGAAACCTGCTTGGGTGTTGCCTGTGTAATTAGCACTGAAGGCTAAGGGAACTGTGGGATGGTGTCAGAATTCAGAAGTGGTTCAACATATCTTAAAAATCAAAATGCTTTTGCCTGTATAAACAGGTTTTTGTTGGACTCTATAATTTTGTAGGCCATGAACCTAACGGAAAATCAGACTCAGTCTCTGAATTTCCTTACTCTTAGTTTGGGGCAATTCAACCTTCTGGTCCCATAGGCCAAGTGCCACAGGCAGGGCCAGTCTGCAGGCTGGATCCAGTGCGGGGTCAGCCTGCAAGGTCAGTGATCCTGTGCACCAGCCCTGCCCCTCATGCTGGATCTGGCTACTGAATGACTCCTGTAGTAGTGTGATCCAGCTTGCAGCACTCCTCACAAGTCTGGAAATTTGGTGGTAGGAGATAATAATTACTATTGCCACAGCTCCCCAGCTGCCAAATTTCTGGACCTGTGAGGAGCCCTATATTTCAGATCAGGGCTCTAGGTTGATCACTAGTTTAGGGTACACCCTGTAGAGGAAGAACAGTATTATTTGAATTTCAGTGTAATGTCTTTACACAAGGGAGTGGTCCTCTGAGAAGTACTTTCACTCTTTTCCTAAATCAGGGGTCGACAACCCCCAGCACGCGTGCCAACCATGGCATGCAAGGCCATTTTCCTCGGCATGCGCTGGAGCCGGGGGTGGGGAGGCAGCAGCTGTTTGCAGCCTTCCAGCTGCAGCCGGCTTCAGCTCTGGGTAGCTGCTGTCAGCCTGAAGCCCGGGCTGCTCCCAGGTGGGAGGCTGCAAGCCCTGCTGTGAGCAGCCCAGGCTCCTTGGCTATCAGCAGCTACCCAGAGCCTGGGCCAGCTGCAGCCAGGAGGCTACAAACAGCTGCTGCCTCCCTAGCCCCAGCCCAGGCCCAACAGGCACAGTACTGGCACCTGCTGCCTTCCCAGAACAGGGAAGCTGCCTCCTGCTGCAAGCCCCACGCTGCCCAGTTCACACTTCCCCTGTGAGCATGGGAGCAGCGTAGGCAGCACACAGGGATGTGCCCCTCGCTGCTGCCCCTGCCTGCAGAGGAAGCATGGCCAGGGCAGCAGGAAGCTTGGAGCAGGCAGCTTTGTGTGCACCCCGCTGTGCCCTGCCTCACCAGGTTCCAACGCTGCTCTGTAGAAGCAGCGGTGAGGGCGGCACAGTGGGGAGCATTCTCGGTATCTGCTGCTGCCTCCCCAGAGCCTGGAGAGGGCCAGGGCTGGGGCCGAGAGGCAGCAGATGTTTGCAGCTGGCCCAGGTTCTGGGTAGCTGCTGACAGCCACAGAGCCCGGGCTGGGGGGGCAGGGGCTTTGGGGGG